GAATTCGGTTGCAAAAGTATTTTCTTCTTCTAATGCATTACTTTGTAAGTATTACATAACAAAGAATGTGAGAAGTCATGTTAAACTCGTGGTAGGGACAAAACAAATAGAGTCCGAAGAGGGAAAATTGGTGAAGGCGGGTGTGATTTTGGAAAAAATTACGGATGCATGGAATCGTATAATAAATTCTTCCATAAAAGAACTATATGTCGGTTCTGTTATTTATTTTCGGAAAGTGTGTGAAAAGTATTCTGATTTAAAATATGTTAAAATCACAATTCTTTATCAAGTGAAGGATAATATAGTTTGTACGTGGACTGATAATGTTAGACACCTTGGAAATACAACTACTAACAAAGTTGATTCGGCCCATGCTATTTTGAAAAATTGGTTGCGAAATAGTAAAGGGGATTTGTGTAGAGACCGGGACTCCGTGAACCACAAGATTCAAAATCAGCATAATGAGATACAAATAATATTTGGTCGGAGCATCACGGTTTTGGAACACGGATTTAAAGACAACACTTTATATTCTCAGTTGGTTGGTAACATTTCTAGAGCGAGTTTGAACTATATTTTTCACGAGGCTAAACAACTGATAATGTAGGCTCCAATAGCGTAAAGTATGGTTGCACCATTGTGAAAACATATGGTCTCTCATGTGCTTGTACTATTGCTAAAAAGGTGAAACTTGGTGAACCAATAATAATGGATGAGGTTTGCTCTCATTGGAAGAGACTTAGGTTCGATGATGATGGATGCATGGATGACGAGAAATCAAATATCTCTATTTTGACTTACTGGAAAGTGATACAAGAGATATTTTCGAAGGCTGATGATAACATGAAACTCCACATCAAAGAACAATTGAGGAAGATTATATATTTTGAAACCACCGACATGAAACCACATTCTCAACCGGTAAAAACAAAAGGTGCTCTGAAGAAAATGAAGCACACACCGAATGACAAGTCGACTACATGATCTCATTCATATTTTGAACATGTCGAAAAAGTTTTTCTCAACTCACCAACTCCAAAATCTCAAAAAAGTGTTGTGAAAGGAGCTTGCATTAGCAAACCACATCTGGCGCTGCTTCCACCAAAGATTCCATTCATTGACGAGATGCAGGTATTTATGCACAAATATATCGAGCGAGTCGTAAATGTTGTGGGGGACAGTAATTGTGGTTATCAAGCCGGTTTAGCTTTACTCGGTAAAGGAGAAGATAGTCATGCACTTGTCGGACATCAACTTATCCAAGATTTGAAGACGCATAAAGAATCGTAGATGCGGTTGTAAGGAAATAAAGAAAAATTCAATGCGGTTTATGAGTCTCTTGTTCCTTACTTGAGCGGTTCGGCACTAGAGGAAAAATGGATGAGCTTCCCTAATATGGGTCACCAAATAGCATGTGCATATGATAGAGGTTGTATTAATGTGACACACTACGGTTTTCAGAAACTTTTTTCCCACTACACCCCACCCCACCCCAAAATCTGAATGATCGTTTCATGTGTATTGGATGACTTTCAAAATCATGTCATTTTGTTCAAGTTTACTTGAAACTGGGAAGCCTCATACCATTTACATCATCGAAGTGGACGACTTATTAAACCGCAAAAGCCGAAACGTGGCCGAATCATGTTATGAAAAGGATGCGAGAATTTGAGAGATTGAACAACATTGATAAAGAATCTAATGCACAAAAGTCCAAGGGGTGCCACCTATAGATTTGGCCGGCGACATATGTTTCAATTTATTTTGATTTCTTGTTTAACTGGATAAATAATTGTTTGTAATTGTGTCTCAATATAAAAAAAGTGTTATATATTCACGTTTTCTTCATATTGTGTCTTTATGTTGTTTTTATATTCCCTATTACAACATTTCTGTTTTTGCAATTGGAAAACAAATGGTTTTGTCATAGTTCTGGTGTGTATCTAGTTCAGGAGATGTTCCGGAGATGCATCTCGGGAACAAGATAATAAGATGAGTTTTTAGAGATATATCTCCGGAATCAACGAGTCAGTTAATGAGTGGTGCAAAATGATCTATGGCTTCTATAAATTTAGGCACTCTAATGCTATATTTCACACAAACTTAAAATGTCTCAAATGTCACAAATAAAAATCTATTGGTATGTCGTAAATGTCTCCTTCTCCGGCTCACTTGAGCGAACATTCAAGCTCACCTACTTCACCTACCTCGGAAATATCAAAGACGAAATCCATTATCTCCTACCTTACGGAGACAATCAAAAGATTATGAAGCTCAAGTACCTTTCACCTTCGATTGACAACGGAGGAAAGATTCATTTCACCACGTTTGTGCTCAAGACGCAAGCGGATGTTAGGGCTACGTGGGATACATTTTTCGGTTTCGAAGAGAAAGTTTTGCTCAAGTTGGAAGTGACAATACAAAGATCGGTCGAAGATATCCTGAAGATGTGGAAGGGTCTACCAGGATATTTAAATGTAATATTGAATTTTCTGTTGAAATCATCATTGTATTGATCATTTTATATTATGAATGTCAATTTTATTTTGGATCAGTTGAATGTGTTTCTGGTGTGAATCCGAAGATGTAACTATGGAATTATTCTAAAGATGCATATCTGGAATAAATTAAACCAAAAGAAAGGGCGTAACTCAGAATGATCTTTGTTGAGTGGGTGTTGGGTGTGTCTGGAGATGTAACTACGAAATGAATCTGGAGATGCATCTCCGGAATAAATTTAACCAAAAGAATGAACGTAGTTCAGAATGGCCTTTGTTAAGTGTGTGTTTGATGTGTCTGAAAATGTATCTTCAAAATCATGGGACATATGTGAAAATTTACATGATACATTAGAAACACCTAGGATGCAATAAATTTTTTTTTTAAAAATTTTTGTGTTCAAATCTATAGTTTTGAGAAATGCTAACAAGTGCCTTTGAGACACTGGTAATAAATTAAAATGCTAAGTTGAACATTATTTAAGAGATTAAAAAAATATATATTTATTTAATACAATAAAAATAAAAATACTAATTTATTTAAAAAATATTGTGTGGATTCAATAAATTAAAGATAACATACTTTCTTTATTTAAATTTTTTAATGGGGTATTCCTGAAATACAGGTTAGCATGGTCTATAATTTTTATGGGCTTTCAGTTTGGCTCAATTCATCCGACCTATTTTACAGACTCTACTCAAATCTCATAGTTATAGCATAATCAAAATCAAACTTTACCATAACCAATAATCTAAAACAAACACATGATACAAAAACACAGCAATGCAATTTCCAGCTCCCAACATGTATCAAATTTCTTTCCAAAATATAAAGAATAAAAAAAGAAGCATTAATGGATCTAGCCGTGAAAAGCGTGAGAAGTGTATTCAATAATGGCGAAATGCATGAGGCTCATCAGAACTTGTCGGCAACACAACACCCATGCATCAACCATTAAGGCCTACGCACATATCAATTTCAACAATCTCTACCCCAATATAAAATCTTATAAATAAAAAATTGCTTTAAAATATTGACAAATCAAAGTCAAAAGCCTCTATATTAGGCTTTTTTTTCTACAATTTGCAACACCGACTCAAAACCTTATTATTACTCTATTGCATAATTTTATAAACATCAATATTATCAAGAATCTCTTCTAAACTTAATTAAAAAATCTGAAATCAAATTTTGAGTAAGCAATATTCAGACAAGACCGTCTTAAATTTATTTTAAGTTTATGTACTTTTTCTTGTCTAAATTACAAAATATTTTGTGTAATTTATACGAATTAAAAAATTTAATTATTATTTATAAAATAATAAATTAAATATAATTTTATAGTAATACTCTTCATAATTATATACTACCTCTGTGATTTTATAAGAGACAATTTATTTTTTAGATTCATTCAATAATTAATGTATTTGAACTAGTTTTTTGACTAGATACATTGATTATTCAATAAATCTAAAATGTAGGTTGTCTTTTATAAAAAGAAACAAAGGTGGTATAAAATAAAAATTAAAAAAATTAAAAATATAAATATGATAAATACTCAAATGTATATTGATAAAAATATCATTAATATTCCATTAAAAATAGAAAATGATGTATAATTTGAGATTTTTTTTTAAAAAAAATGACTTATAATTTAAAATAGAGAGAAGATAAGTATAACAAATTAAATAATTTTTTTTGTTTTGCCAGGTTTAATTTTAAAAAATATTTGATAAATATATTTTAATTATAGTTTAAACGTATTAAAATTTTAAATTTTATGCAATAATTTATCTTACACATTCTTTAAGATGATATCATGTTAAGGAATCGTATTAAATTTATAAAAATAAAATAAAATTTATTGTCAATCGTGATTTTCTCTAACTCAAAGTCTTCACATTTACGCATACTAAATTCTTAAAAAATCAATATTATCACCCTATATTATATATATTAGGGTTAAATATGTTCGTATTTTTCATAAATATTTTAAATTTTCTTTTTAATTCTTTAAAATATTTCTTTTAAAAAGTAAATCTCCTAAAACTTTCCATTCACATTTTTTATAATTTAATAACGGTTTTTACAATTTAATAACAAAATTAACTATAATTTATTATTTAACAACTTGAATTAGTACTAAATTTAACAATAATTTAAATATTAAACACTAAAAGTGTAAATAAAAAATTTTAAAAAATTAAAAACAAAACTAAAAATATGTAACATCATCACAAACATATTTAAACGAAACCATTAATGCCAAAGATAAACAAACCCACTTTGTTTATACATTTTTGTCCTTCCAAAGTCTTGGAAAAGGTACTCATTAATTCACACACCAGAGCCATTTCTCTCTATTTCCGTGTGTTGACTTTCTCATTTCTAACAACTTTCTATAAACTTTTACACTTTCATCAATCACATTCATCTTTTTTTTTTCTCTATTTTTCTCATTACAATCTCCAAAACCACATTCAAAATTTAACAATCTTTTTATGGATGAAATTGAAATCGAAATCGATGTTCCTTCCCATTTTCTCTGCCCAATCTCCCTCCAACTTATGAAAGATCCTGTCACTGTTTCAACAGGAATAACCTACGACAGAGACAACATAGAAAAATGGTTATTTTCATTCCAAAACAAAACATGTCCTGTCACAAAACAAACCTTATTAGAAACCGATCTTAATAATCTCACACCAAACCACACTCTTCGCCGTTTGATTCAATCTTGGTGCACTCTTAATGCTTCATTTGGTGTTCAACGTATTCCAACACCAAAATCACCAATCGACAGAACACAGATTCTTAAACTCCTCAATGAAGCAAAGAAATTTCCAGAAACACATCTCAGTTGTCTCGTAAAGCTTCGGTCCATCGTCGTCGAAAGCGAAAGGAACAAAAAATGCTTGGAATCTGCAGGTGCAGTAGAGTTCTTAGCTTCAACCATGAAAAACAACAATTCAAGCTCTCTGAGGGAAGCTGCTATTGAAGTTTTGTTTCATATAAACCCTTCTGAAGTTCGCATTAAGAATCTCATAAACAACGAAAGCATTCAATTTATCGAGTCATTGTTTCATGTGTTGAAGCTTGGGAGCTGCCAATCTAGAGGCTATGCAACAATGCTATTGAAATCGGCATTCGAAGTATGCGACCCGATTCAATTAATCGGCGTAAAAAAGGCAATATTCGAAGAGGTAACACGAGTGCTTATTGATAAGATTTCACAACAAGCTACAAAAGCTGCATTGAAGTTACTTGTGGAGCTTTTACCATGGGGAAGAAACCGAATAAAAGCGGTCGAAGGCGGCGCGGTTTTAGTCCTCGTGGAGCTTCTTTTCGATGTTTCCGAAAGAAAGGTTTGTGAAATGATTTTGATAGGTTTAGATCAGCTTTGCGGTTGTGCTGAAGGTCGTGCGGAGATGTTGAATCATGGAGCAGGAATCGCTATTGTCTCGAAGAAAATTTTGAGGGTTTCGCATGTTGCAAGTGATAGAGGTGTTAGAATTTTGAGTTCTATTTGTAGGTATTCTGCAAACTCTAGAGTTTTACATGAAATGTTGCAAGTTGGAGGTGTTTCAAAGTTGTGTTTGGTGCTTCAAGTTGATAGTAATTTTAAGACAAAAGAGAAGGCTAAGGAGATTCTTAAATTGCATTCAGTTGTTTGGAAGAATTCTACTTGTATTCCTGTTCCTTTGTTGTCTTCTTATCCATGAGGACAATGTGTATGATCTAATTGGGTCACAATTAATTCAATAAGTTTTTTTTAATTTTTTTGTATACATGGAGATTGTGAAATTGAGTTATTTGGTTTTAGAGATTTTTGGAATTGTGAAATTGTGAAATTGTGAAATTGTTAAACTCATAGTTTATGAAGGGAGAAATTAGTTGCATCAATTTGTGAAGTGCATCTTGTTGATCTCAAAGTATTGCATCTAATCTTAACTTGAAAATTTAATGAGAGACATTTATTCTGTCATCATAATCACTTGAATAATCAGAACCAGACCATCCAAATATGTTTTCTCCATTATCTGTTGTATACAAAATTCCATAGTTCACGGTATCCTGTAAATTCGTGATAATCCTTTTGGATATTGTCATATGCAAGCACAACTAAAAAAATGCTTTTTACTTTGGACACGAAAAATATATTATTTCGGCTACAGAAATAAGATAACGAAAAATGACATGAAAACTCGCCACTTATCATTTCGGTGTAATTAAAACCGAGAGGTAAAGTTATATGCACATGAGTTTGAATCTTAGCAGCATCACTTTTATTATTTTTAAAACTAGTGTATCTTATATCTTGGTTTATCTTGAAAACCGTAGGATAAGATTATATTTTTTTATAAAAAAATTGTTTAATTGTTTACTTAAAATATTGTATTGATTAAAATAAAAATCAAATTTCCTAGAGATCTAGGTAAAAATCAAATTTTCTGAAGATCTAGATTTTAGATCTTCAAATTATTGAATCTTGGGGAAAATCAAATGTTGGGTGCAAGATTATTCTCTACAAATCTTTCATGCATTTGATTCTGAAGCAAAACAAAAGGGTTAGATAAATAAAATCAATATTCAAATATATGATTTTGTGCTCAAATAAATATTTAAGAAAACAAACCTTAAGTCCAAGTAGTTTTTTGCTCTTACAATCCATTTTATAGAATTTTTCCAAACATCTTTATGTTTCAAGCGCTTCATGTTCCATATAGGTTAGATTTTCAATATTCAGCATGCTTTTACAATGGATGTCCCTTCAGTTTCACGTAGATCACTAATGACAAATTCTTGAGCATTGATAAACATTAAATGGACGACAAAGATTTGTTTAAGGGCGTTCAATATAGTAAAAAAACGCTTAACTATTCTCTCCGTCACAAAAAAAGTCGAGGTGATTAAGCTGTTTTTTTAAAATTACATTGTTTACACAAAATATTAAAAGTACATTGTAAAATCTGTTTCTCAATGAGAATTTTTTATTTTTCATGTCCATGTCTCATGCAAGATGCTAGAGATATGTTTCTCAATGAGAATGTTTATTTTCTTCACTTGCAATTCATCCCAAAGATCTGTAGTAGCAACTCATGATCAAATGGACGGTGGTGAATATTTTCTCTCTTTGGGGATGCTACATATAAGTTAGTCTTAGGGTAAAATCTGTTTAACGAGTGTTTTTATAGTAAAATATAATTATTAAACCCCTTGATTTTATAATAAAACTGAGGTGAATAATTTTTTAAATAAAATTGTTTATACAGAATATTAAAATAAATTGTTTACAAAGACTCTTTACTCTTATTATTGAATATCTTCACTGATATTTAGATTTAGTTGCATTCCCTTCTTTGTTCAAAGGTTACGCTCACTTCCTTATTGGTTAAGCTCCCTTTTTTGTTGGTTAAGTTTAATTCTTTGTTTAACTTGAAGTAAGAATGATTTTCTACACTTACAATCTATAAACCGAATACTCTTCAAAGGTTGAGCTCCCTTCTTTAACTAAAAGTTATTTCAAAAATACAACAACGACAACATCAACACCATTATGTTAGGATGGATAACAATGGCAGAAAAAATATTTTATTCAAGATAAAAGAACATTGAAGATTTTTTCTGTCTTCCAATCCATCCCAAAGAATGATGCTTGCGAGTTTGGGGCGGCTTCATATTAGTAAGGATTAGAGTAAAATATGTTTAACGAGTGCTTTTATATTAAAATCTTATTATTTTATGTCTCAGTTAAATAAAAAACTGAAGGGTTAGAACATTTTGTTTACACTTATAAGAAAATAAAATTATAAACTGCAATAACTGGGAATCGAAACTTGTACTAAGTTGTTTTTTCACCTCAATTTTTATAATTGATGGTTTTTTATTTTTTAAATAATAAAAAATAGCGCGCCTTGACTTAATACCTCAGTTTCCTATTGTTCGAGGTGAGAGTTTCGTCATGAAAAGTTTTATTTTTCGTAGTGATGTCAGTTAGCCTCTCCATGGAACGAGAAATTAAACATTCAACATAGCCCAAATAAAGCCTAATTGCAAATTGATACATATGACATCCCACTACCTTATTGTACTCCTTAACATCAATCTCGTATCTAGTTTATCTCTAATGACCTTGCATCCATGCACAATTGGATTATAAACAGTATTGCAATTTTCCATGTCAAATCTATGTTAAATATATATTGAATACTTTTGTTGGTGAATGAAGATTATCCAATCTTGACACGGTTGTAAAAAAAATTGTAGTCAACTCCATACTGCTAAGAATACCCTTTAGCCACCAATCTTACCTTGTACTTTTCAATCTTTCCGTTCTCATTGTCTTAGAGATCAATTTAACTCTAATTTTGTTTGCTTCATGGGAAAAGACTTCCTATTCTCGAGTGTTGTTACCTTCAATTTGGTATATCTCTAGATCCATGACCTTCCTATATAATTCCTAAGTTTCAGCTTCCTCGTAAGTGATTGGATCCTCATTGGTATTAAACACATCCAAATAAGCCAGTATCTTTAATTTCTTCTTCACCAGTTATGAGAAAAGTTACTAAGTTTTCTTATGACTCTTGGTGGCTGTCATAACCTAAATTTTGACCACAAGACTTCACATCATTTTGTACAAATCGTCACCATAATATGAATGTATTTTCATACCTCACCAATCTTTTCAAAGATTGTTGAGTATTCACCTTAACCAAAGATTAGGGTTTTGAGCCCTCTTATAGCATTCAGGCAAAGGATCAATCAAGAATTGGCATGATCTTCAACTTGTCAAGCCTCTCAAACATCTATGAAGGATTAAGAGATCGTCCCCATCAAGAATCTAACACAAGATTGCGTCATCCCAAGTTAATCAAGCCTCAAGACCATCAGTGTCACCAAATTAAGGTTTTCATCGACCAAGGCTTCCATAGAGAAATTTTCATCTGGGCATGAGCCAACACTTCAATATATAATTCAAGAAGCTCAAAAGAACCCCGTGAGTCTATTCATAAGTTTAAAATAGCCTCAATGGTTGCATCTATCAAAAATCAGAAATTAGGGTTTTGACCTAATTCAATCCCTAGGTTGACTTTTGGGATAAGGCATGATCCAAAACCTCAAGACAGGATTTGAGGACCTCAAATTCATCATATTGATCCATTCACAAGATTCGATTGATTCTAAGAACTTGATTCATAAGTAATACAAGGATTCAAATTCATCTGGACCACAAACTAGGGTTCTTGAGGAAAAGTCAACCATACCTTTGACTTTTGACCAAGACATGATCTCAAACCTTGGGAAATAATTCAAGATATTCAAAAACATCCTTATAGGCCATCCATGATGTTTCAAATAGGCAAGGGTTTGATTTCATAAGAGAATCACAAAGTTCAAAATTCATCTGGTATAAAAAGTCAACTGTGCCGAAAACCTAGTTTGACTTTTGGGAATTTTTTTTAGCAAACATGGTCTATTTAAGTCAATAACAATATTAACTTGTGATTTGGATCATGATAAATCAAGAAAAGGTAAGAAAAATGAGGTTACTTGCAAAAAAGACAACCTTGAGAAACTTGGAATTTCACTAAGTTATGGAAGGAACTTGATTTTTACCCAACATTGCAAGGTTATAACTTGTGATCCAAGCAACCACTTTATCCCATCCAAAGCTCAAATGGTAGATATTCTTACATACAACAAGATTGGAAAGCTGAAGTATCCCCAAAAAATGCCTAGATTTTGAGATATGAAGCACTAAAGTTAGAGTTTCATGAGATTTTGAACTTTGACACTTAGAAATTTTTAGGCAAAATCTGCCTCATGTTTTGCCCATTTTTGGAGGCATTTTTCATTATGATTCAAGATGAATCAAGACCAAATGTAAACATCAAAGTTGAAGTATGATATACAAGCTTTCCAAAGAGTATAAGAACATTCATTTATTCAACTTGAGCAAGATGTTATGAACTTCACAACATGCCTTGATGCAAACTATTTTTTGACAGCATTTGGCACATAACTTGCATTCCACGATTTTAAAGCCAATTTTGGGCACTTGCATCATTGGATTTCTGTCCAATATCAACATAAATGATGAAGGAATCTGAACCATAACACAAGGAGTCAAGTATCTAGCCTAGCATGTGCAAATCCGTCATGACATGAACCTTGAATTTCAACTTTGGCATCAAGCATTAATATGATGCATTGAGGTGGTACGGATCAAGCACAAACCAGCTAAGACTCAGTCCAAAGCCATGAGTGTTCAAACCTACAAATTTGAATTGGAGTCAATGCATAGCTATGCTAGGAGGAGACTTTGACTACATGACAAAATCCATTGGATAATAGCATCCTCCCTCATCCATTCATTATTCCTCCCAAAACAAACTTGCTCTCCTATAAATAGGAGTCATTTCTAACAATTTGAATCACACCAAAACAATGCCAAATGCTTGTTTTCTCACTTCCCTCTCTTACTTCAAGTTTCAAGGTTCTAAGTGGCAAACTTAGAATTCTCAAAACCAGATCCTAAACCACTCAAAAAATTATCCAAACGCATCACAAATCATCCATTGGGGGTGTCCAAACCTTCATCTTCATCTCAAATCACCAAAATCAAAAAGTCAACCATCAAAACCTTATATTTTAACTTTTCTGCATTTTTTAATCCATGTCTTGATCCAGTCACTTTCAAAACCAAACAACACCTTAAACA